GCGGTGCTCAGCGGAAGCGGCGGCGCGACTTCCGGAGTTCCTCCAGCCTGGACTCCCGAGAGAGAGGGGAGAGCTGGCTGGCAGGGGCCACTCCTGACACCAGAGGGGTAATGATGAGGAGCGGAGGCTGGCGGGAGGCAGGCGGGTTGCCTCAGCCTTGCCCTTGGCCCTGACCTTACCCCTGGCTCCTTAGTGCCTTGTCCTTAGCTCCAGCCTCCCTGAGCAGAAGCGTCCACTAAATCCGACCATGGGGGCTGTGGCGGAAGCCAGGCGGGGGGTGTGTCTGTCCAGACACGTTGGAGAACCTCAATGTCCAGCAGGGGGAATCTGTGGTACCCTGAGGGTCACGGGGCGCTGCGAGCAGGAGGGAGACACAGGCTGCCGAAGGGAGACAGTCCTGGTGGAGGCTGCAAGGCCAGGCTAGAGGCAGAGGGCCCAAGGAGGTGGGAAGTCAAGAACCTGCAAGGCCAGGGATTGGAGGGGCTCCTCCCTCCAGGAAGACCCTGCATACCTTCCAGTATAGTTCCCCCGCCACCAAACTTCCCCACACCCTGACTCCTGTGAACCCACAGCCTCCTTCCCATCCTCTGTTGCTGACAAGAAATACCGTTTAAGTCAAAGAAGAAGATGTCTAAGTGGGGTGGGGCACACCTGCAACCCCAGCACTCTTGGGAGGCTGAAGCAGGAGCATCCCAAGTTCAAGCCCAACCTGAACAACTTAGTACCTTATTGAGACCCTGTTTCAAAATGAAAACTGAAAAAAGAACTGAAGATGTAGCTCAGTGCAGAGGTCCTGGGTTCAACTCCCAGCACGGGGGGGGGGGGCGCTGGCTGAAAATGATGTTTTTACTGAGCCCTGGGGGTAAAGGGGGGCAGTCCCGGAGATCCTGTGGATGGGGACAGTGCGCAGGGCTCCTCAGCTGAGAACGAGGTGGCTCTGGCCCTGCTGTAGATTCCACGTTGGCCTGGGGCAGAAGCCTGGAGGCTCTGGGTCGCTCCTATTGGGGGGCTGGAGGTCTGCTGCTGGGACTTGGGGGCGGGGGAACCGACATCCTGGTACCTGGGTGGGAGGCAAGGCAGCCCACGCCCACTTTAGGACCCGGAGGGGCGGAGGTGTGTGCGGGCGGGTGTGTGTCTGAGTGTAGTCGTGTGTCCGGTTCGGCGTGTAAATGTGAGCCTTCCCTGGCACATGGTGCGCAACTGTGGCTCTGCATGCGAGCAGCGTTGGGCAGAGCCGCCTGCTATGCTCTGTGGGAGCCCCGCCCTCCTGCCCCCAGGTGCCCTCCGTCCTGCCCAGGTCTCACCTGGCCGTGCCTGCCGCTTCCGATGCCAGGCGGAGAGGGGAAGAGATGTACGATTTCACAGGCCAGTGCCCGGGATGTGTCCCTCTGCTGTGTGCAGCTGGGGAGGCCCAGGGCCTCCGCTATGGATCCGAAGAGGCCTGGACACCCGTGCCTCGGGGACCCAGGCAGTGACCTCGCCCCTTGAGGCTTTGGCCACGACTGGCGTCTGTTTCCTGGAGAGGAGAAGGTGGTTGGCACGGGTGTGCTATCTCCGCAGGACGATGGCTGGCACATGGAGGATGCTGGCCACTGACCTCGCTGGTCCTCTCTGTCCTCCCCGGGTGCTGTGGTGCCTCAGCTGGCCACGCACAGGGGGACGGGACCCCAGGCAGAGCCCAGCACATGTTCAGTCCCCACAACCCAACCTCTCCTGCCGAGGTAGGAAGGAGCCTCAGAGAGCCGGGTCACCGCATACCCGAGGGGGCTCTCCCTGGAAGAGTCTGAGGTGGGGTTGGAACCCCAGGCTGTGCAGAGTGCCACACAGGCACACTGCCCAATGCCAAGAGCCTGGTGGGGCCTGGGCCCCAGGCAGGAAGAGCCGAGCCTGCCGGCCAGAACTGGCTGTTTCTCCCCAGCCCGGGTCCGAGTACGCAGGCATCACTGTGGGTGTGGCCCTCGGCCTTCCGCTCGTCAGGTGTCTGGACCATGTCTTGCCCCTCTGAGGACTGTCGCTGCCTGGGGACCATCCCAAGGGGAGAAGGCTTCTTTGTTTTGTTTTGCGTTGTTTTGAGATAGGGTCTTGCTATGTAGGGCAGGCCGGCCGGCCTTGAATTTACAGCAATCCTCTTGCCTCAGCCTCCCAAGTGCTGGGATTAAAGGCCTGTGCTGTTTGCCCCCAAGCCCAGCTTTGGTGTTTCCTTGGTGGTTTTTGTTGTTGTTGTTGTTGTTGTTGTTGTTAGAGAGAGGTTTTCTTGGAGCTTCTCTTGGGGGAGGGAGTTGTAGAGTGCTGGGTATGACCCAGGGCTTTGTGCACAATCGGCAGGCACAGAGCCTCTGAGCCCAGCCTGGCCCCGTCCACCCTTGAGAACAGCTCTCCATTGGCAAATGCCCTTCCCCTCCCTCCCGCCAGAACTTCACTATCTCTGGGCGTCCTCCCTCCCTGCACCCCCAGTGCCACACTGGCCACCAGGGTTCCTGTTGGGCTCCTTCCAGGAGAAAGGCTGCCCCTCCCACAGCACTGGAACAGCTCCAGGCCAGCCCTGCTGTAGGAGCCCGGGGTGCTGTGGGCCTCCAGCTTCTTGGCCCGGGGGGAAGGTGGCTCCGGGAAGTTCTGCCCCTGTAGCACCTCGGGGATGCGCTGCAGGTTCTGGCTCCTCTTCTGGGCTTCCTACTGCCCCGTGACTCAGGGGAGCCCCTCTGGCCTCGTTGCTCTTTCTTAGGTTCCTTTCCAAAGAGATGGGTGAGTGGGGAGCCACCCCAGTGCATGCGCTCCCCTACCCTCCAGGCCTGAACTGCCACATGACCCACGCAGATGGGGACTTGGTCCTCAATGCTCTTGGCAAAGTGCCCTCCTGTCAGCTGTCTGCCTGGTCGGCGTTAACCAGCAACCCCCACCTCGCCGCCTTCCTGGGGATTGAACCTGAGGCCCTTGCACTGACCTACATCCCCAGTCCTCTTCTTAACTGTTTTATTTTAAGACAGCTTCTTGATAAGTTACTAAGTTCCCCAGGCTACCCTCAAATTTGCCATCCTTCTGCCTCATCCTCCCAGAATACAGGCATGCTCCACCATGCTTGGCTCCATTAACCAACTTTTGAAAATTAAAGCTGCTATAAGGACTAGAAGCTTTCTGACGCAAATAAAGGATAGATATTCAAGGCAAGAGAAGTGCTAAGTACACCGATCTGCTCACTACCCATGTGAAAGGTGTCCAGTAATGACACTGAGCCTCATAAACATATGCAGTTACTATGGGTTGGTTAGAAAAAATATAATTCATGTGGCCTGTTGCTGAAAGAAAATTTTAAAAAGAAACCAAAGAAAGAGAAGAAAGTTTTTTTGTTTCTTACTTTCTTTTTGGTACCGGGTTGAACTCAGGAGAAGAAAGTTTTAAAAATTGAAGCCAAAAGTATGAGCATCAAAAAATGGATAGGGAGCTGGGCTTGTTCGCACACACCTGTAATCTCAGCACTCTGGGAGGCTGAGGCAGGAGGATTGGAAGTTCAAGCCCGGCCTGGCCAACTTAGTGAGACCCTGTCTCAAAATAAAAAACGAAAAAGGGCTGAGGATGTAATTCAGTGAAGGTCCTGGGTTCAATCCCTAGTACCAAACCCCCCCCCCCCAAAAAAAGTAAGATGGGCCAGGGATTTAGCTCAGTGGTTCCACTGCCTGCCTCGAAAGTGCAAGGTCCCGAGTTCAATCCCTGGTACCAAAAAAAAAAGAAAAAGGAAAGAAAGAAAGAAAACAGACTTAGGAGAGAAACAGTTTGCCTGAGTTGCCTGGAAGTTGTTGGATGTTGAGCCAGAACTCAGAATCCTGGCTGTATTCTCTTGCTGGGCAGGATGGGGTGAGGAGCCCCAGGAAATAGCTCATCCTTGTCCAGTGAGTCCTTCTCTGGATGTTTTTAGCTTTTACCTTATACATGCATAGAGATGATAATGAAAAAAATATATGTATGTATGCTTATATATATTTTCATAAAACATAGGCATTTATTTTTCTGTATTTACAAGCAGTCCAAGGCTAGTGTGGCAGCTCCATAATGTCAAGGGGCCATTTTCCTTTTATCTCCCTGTTCCAACCTGCTCAATAAGCGACTTCTAAGTCCAGTATTGCTGTCACAGTTCCTGCCATCATTTCAACATCCCAGTCTGTGGCAAAGGAGGAAGGGGAAGAAAGGGAATTGCAAAGGTCGGAGGAGAGGGAAAAGCTTACTTATGTCTTTCCTTATTCTTTTTCTAGTTTTTAAAATGGCGGTAAAATACATGTAACATAAAACTTCCATCTTACAATGGCATCAAATACATTCCTATTCTTGTACAACCACAAGATAAAGAAGAAATGGAGGCTCAGAGAGGTTAAGTGTCCTGCCCAAAGTCATACAGCATGCATCTCATGGGCTCACTTGAGGGCTTCTGCCTGAGCTGAGTGTGTTGTCTTCATGAGAAATTGTGAAGAATATAGGGGAGGGGTTCCCCAGTATTCCCATCACCCTAAGTAAGTAGAGAAGTCCACCAGGGGCAGGTACCATGGGGACCTGGGCAGCCCTATGAATGGCTCCTTTCTCTTCCCGGGAAATGCAGGAAGGGGCAGGCCGTGGACTAAGTGCATTTGGCAGCAGTACTGGAACGCAGAGTTACGGTGGGACACTTTGCGGCCCCACTCAGTCGTGGTGCGGCCGTGCGCGTGCGTGTGAGTGTTTCCGCGGTGCTTGTCAGTCTCTGCTGTACACGCGCGCTCCTGCACGCACGTATGTGCTCGAGCGCATGCGCCCTGCACTTCTGGAATCCCCGCGCACCGCCGCTGTCTGCTGGGCGGGGAGGGGCAGCTTTTTTCTGGGTGTTGCAATCGAGCCCTGGCACAGAAGTCAGCCGCCAAATTAACCCGCGTTTCCTGTGGGGAGAAATGAAATGTAATCAGTTATTACATTCTGGGCATTACAGCAAAAGAACTCATCCGGGTTTTTATTTTGATATTTTTGGGGGGAGCTACAGATGGGAAACAGGTTAGTGGAGGCCCGAGCTGAACTGCGGTGGCTGCTGGGAGATGCCCCGTGGCTGGGACCTGGGGGTGGAAAGACCAGAAAGCAGGGTTGCTGGTCACCCCAGTCCTCCCGTGAGGAGGAGTGGGTGAAGGGCTTCCTGGGCCTGAGCAGGGCTGGCGAGACACGCCCGTTCTGGTCAGCAGACTCCAGCAGGGAAGAGGCCGCTGGGCGCGTGTGTATGGTCACACTGCAGCCACCCTCCACGGGCACCAGGGCTCGGCCTGCATTCTGCAGCCTTTATGATCACTCAATTATTTTCCCCCTGGGGACTGGACCCTGGCTGTCTCCATTGAACTATATCCCCAGACCTTTTTATTTTTAATTTTGAGACAGAGTCTCACTAAGTTGCCCAGGCTGGGCTCAAACTTGGCGATTCTCCTGCCTCAGCCTCCCAGAGTGCTGGGATGACAGGTATGTACCACTCACTCTTGTATTTCATCTCACGGGTAGCCCTGGGTGCACCCTGCAATCCCCACTTGGCAGGGAGCACCCTGGGATCCAGTCCTGCTGCTTTGGCCTCTCTGGAAGATTGTGTATCTGCGTCAATGGTGGGGGGCTGGAAAGCCAAATCGGAAGTCCCCCTGCAGAATGGGGAGGGGGCCTTGTGTGCAGCCTCTGGGCCTTGGCATGGCCCTCCTCTCCTGGGAGCTCTGCCGCTGGGATCAGGGATGCGATACACACGGGGTGTTAACTGGGGCTGCTCTGGGTCATGGAATCATAAGTGATTTTTTTATTTTGAGGTTCGTGCTTTTTTGCACGTTCTAAATTTTCTACAAGGAGTGCATAATGGAAAAATTAAAATCAAAAGCAGCTCAGCCACCATTTGCGGGTACAGGAAGACTTGAGGATTCTGATGGCTGAGCCCAGTCTGGGCAACTTAGTGACTCAGTGAGACTCCGTCTTGAAAAATAAGCCAGGCTGGAGATGGAGCTAAGTGCAAAGGCCTGGGATCAATCCACAGAACCACACACACATACACACATACACACACACCCACACCCACACACAAAGGGTTATCAATCACTGCTTTGATCAAGCCTTTTTATCACAGGTGAAAGTCACTGAGCTATTGGTTTTTATTTTGTTTTTGAGACAGGGTCTTGCTAATTTGCCCAGGCTGGCTTCCAACTCTGATCCTCCTGCAGAGGAATTGGAACTACAGGTGTTCGCCACCATGCCCAGCTTTGTATTGATTTTAAAATTGGGAATGTGGTCGGTGAAATTACCCACAAGCTTTACCTCTGGAGAAAGGGAGTTGCTACAAAGTCTTTGCTGTAGACTGGTGATGCGGCGTTGCTAGAGTTCGTGGTCCCCAATCTTCTTGGGACCAGGAACTGGTTTCGTGGAAGACAGTTTTTCCACGAATCGGGATGGTTTCAGGATGACCCTAAGGAGCGTGCCTTAGACCCCGCGAGCGCAGTTCACAGCAGGGGGCGCACTCGCAAGAGAAGCTGAGCCCCCGCCCATATCTGACGCCCAGGCGGAGTTCAGGGTGTAAAGCGAGCGATGGTGGCTGCTGGGAACACAGATGTAGCTTTGCTCCTCACCTACTGCTCCCCCCATCTGTGTGGGCGGTCCCAGGGTTTGAGGACCCCTGTGATAGAGTAGGATCATTCATCTGTCCGTTTCCCAGCTGGGAATATCCAGTCCGGAAGTCACCCTGACCTGGGGAGGGGGGTGTCACAGCGCAGGACGTGGGTCTCTTGCTGCCCAGTGGCCTCAGGGTGGCCATCTCAGCCTCCTCTCCAACTACAAACCCCACCCCCTGCTAAGAAGCTAAGAAGCGGGGTAGAAGGGATTTTGTTGGGAATTTACTGGCAATTTCCTGAGAAGCCAGCGGGGCCGTGGGTTGTGTGACCTGACGGTGTGCTGGTGTCCAGAGCCTCTCCTAGCTGTCCTGTCTTGTCCCTGTGGCCAGGCTGGAGCCGGGATGGGGTGGATAACCTCCTGTGACCACCGGTGGCCCAGACACTCTCTGTCCTCTTCTCGGTTGTTTTCCCAATCACCCCCGCCAGTCTGAGTGAGGCTGTCTATTCCTTGGGCGACTACCTTTCAACTGAAGTTATGGTTTTATAAATAATATATACGGCGAGTCGGTGCTGGGAAAGGACGTTCATTCCGCTCTGAAATATTTATAGCTTGGAGTGTCTGCTTACTTTTCTTCAGAGTCATTTTTTAGCGCGTTGTGCTGGAGAGCGAGACAGCCCGAGGCATCTTCAGGAAGCGGGGGACAAGGAGAGCCCTTCCAGCCCCTGAGGCCTGATCCGTTTTTCGTTCTTCGGCAGCCACTGGGGAGGTGGCAGCTTCAGCGGTGGATCACTCCCTGGCCCAGGCCTCCTAAATTATCTCAGAGAAGGCCCTGCAGTGGTGACAAGAACCCGTGCCATCACCCCAGAAAGACACACTGCTCTCCAGCACGGAGTTTGAATAATAACCAACTTGGGCTTTCCCGGCTGCTGTCTGCTGTCCTGGGGCCTTTCCTTGGGGGTGGCTGTTAAAATTCTCCTTTTCCAGATGGGGAATCTGAGCTTCCGAGAGGCTAAGGAATTTCCTGAGGCCACGCTGTCGCCAAATAGGAGAGCCTGGGTTTGCACATGGCCTGACCTATCTCGCCTCTCAATCTTCTTTCCCTCGCCCAGCCTGACCCATTGCTTAGCTTCGCCGGAGGTGGGCGGTGAATTCCCACTCAGCTTCCCGGGCAGTGTCTGTCTGTGTGCCATGGTTTGGATTTCTGGGGTCTTGGAGTTGGGGGCACTGGATGAATGGGATTGAATTCCAGTCCCCCTGCTGGGGTTGGAATATGGTTTGTCCCCTCCAAAACTCACACTGAAATTTGATTGACCTTTGTGACAAAGTCAGGGGTAGATCCCTTAGGAGCTGACTAATCCTTCAGCGGGGTGAACCCCTTTCTCACAGGCTGGGTTGGTTATCTTGGGAATGAATGAATTCTCATGAGAGTGAGTTGTTATAAAGCCAGCCTTCCTCTCCTGTTTTGTCTCTTCTTCCCCTTTTATGCCCCACACTTTATGATGTAGCATGGGGCCCACACCAGAAGCTGAGGAGATGCTGATCCCATGTTCTTGCACTTCCTGGCTGACAGAACCTTTGTTCCTTATAAAATCACACTGCCTCTGGTGCTTCATTAAAAGAAAATGGTCAAAGATTTGGGCAACACATACATACATTCCTGGATACTCTGAGGTGGGCCAGATGGAAACTGAATTGAAGAATGAGGTGCTAGAAACACACTTCCATGCTGCAGGTGTAAGATTGAGGCTGACAAGGGCAGGGACTTGCCCAAAGTCATAGAGATGGTTGGAGTCCAGCCATCTGGTCAACCTCTTCTCCATAACCCTTCCTTCTTCCCTCCCTTTCTCCTCCCATTCCTCTTTTCCTCTCTCTTTTTCTTCTTTTATTTTTTGGTGGTACTAGGAATTGAACTCAGGCCCTTTGCACTGAGCTACATCCCTGGCTTTTAAAATTTTTTATTTTGAGACAGAGTCTCATTAATTTGCTAACTTGCGCAGGCTGGGCTGGAACTTGGGGTCCTCCTGCCTCAGCCTCCCAGAGTGCTGCGATTACAGGTGTATACCACCCCTCTGCCTGGCCAACCCCTCTTTCTTTTTTATTTTTCTGGTATCAGAGATTGAAGTCAGGACCTTTCGCTTTTGAGGCAGGTGTGGTGCCACTGAACTAAGTCCCTGGCCCTCAATCCCTCTTTCTTGTGGGAGGAAACAGGAGTCAGAAGGGGAGAATGTTGCTCAGCATCAGGGGTGGAGATGGGGTACTGTACCTTCTAGGTCTGGCTGTGAGCCTTCTGGTGAGCTAAATCCCTCAAGGCTGTGCATGTGGACCACTCCTCACTTTTCCTAACTTGCTGGTCGTGGCTGGAGGGGGTGGAGACGAACACAAGGTATTTGCTATTTGTGTCATCAGCAACTTGTCACTGTCTCCTGCTGCTTTTTTTTTTTTTTTACCCAGAAGACCATTTCCTCTGGGAACAAGGACTTATGTTCCTGGGAGTTGGTGACTCTGGGTAACCTGAGGGTAGGGAGAGCCTGAGTCATCACTGTGACAGAGGACAGTTGTGAAACAAATGAATGACAGTGTTCCTGAGGGCGCCCAGCTTGGTCTTGAGCCCAAGGGAGCACTCAGACAGCCTGGCCCTGGCTGCCACTGAGAGACACCCAAGGCCAAGCAGAAGCTCACAGCTGGCACCCAGCACACAGGGAACCACTGTTCTAGGAGAAGCCACTTCCATGTAAGGAGTTGGACTCCTCTGATGCCACCATTGTGTTAGTACTGTTGCTGCTATTACAACAAAATACCTAAGGCTGATTAATTTTATAAAGATAAGAGCTTTGTGTAGCTCATAATTCTGGAGGCTGAAAGTTCAAACTGCAGGGTACTGACCACAGTGAGGGCCCTTGGCTGCATCACATCATGGTGGATGATACAACAGCAGGAGTGTGAACGAGATCACATGGTTAGACAGGAAGCCAGAGTAAAGCATGGGCTCTTTTCATAACTATTTGTTCTTACCAGAAGGAGCTCAAAGTCCCACCAGAGCTTCCTTACTCCTTCTGAGGTCACACCCCCAATGAATGAAGGACCTCGCCCTAGGCTGTGCCTCTTCAAGACCCACCACCTATCCATCATCACACTAGGGACCGGGACCCCCCACAAGAACCATAGCAGCCTCATTGTGAGGATGCCCATGCTGGCCACTTGGAGATGCCTAGAGAGGAGGAAGATCCAGCCTGGGCTGGCTATTCTAGCTATCCCAGCTGAGGCATCTGGCACAGTGAAGAAGCTGTGGCCCCACTGAGCCCCCAGTTGATTCTGGCCAGTGCTGTCACCTAATTGCAACAATACAAGTGACCCCAGCCCAGAACCACCTGCCAGGCTGAACCCAGCCAGCCACACAGAACCATGAGAGAGGAAATAAGATAATTTGTAAATCCAGGCTGTTCTGGGGCTGCTTGTTAAGCAGCAATAAACAACTAACTTGTACACCATACATTGCTGATATCAGCTAAGGGAACCAGGACTCTAGGGTGACATGTGGCTTCAATATCAGCCTTCTCACAGACAGGACAGAGACTAGGAATCTCCTCAGGGCCCAGAGAGTCCATGTGTCCTCTGAGATGGCCTCTCCATACTGGCTAAGAAGCTGCTCCTGAGAACAGGTCCCCAAGGGGGGACAGCCCTGCCCACCTCCAGGCACCCTCACCCTGGCCTCGGATTCTGTCTCCCAAAAACAGGTCAGGAGGCCCCAGAGCATTGCCAGGGCCCCAGTATGGTGGGAGGAGGCTACTTTCAAGGTCAGGGCTGTGTAAATGGTGAGTGGCCAGGACCAGATGAGCACAGGAGTTAAGAGGGTCTAGGGACCCGGGGAAAGACTGGATGTGGCTATAGCTATACATTGGTGATGCAGGAACTTGTCTCCTTGAACAGGAGTGAGGCCAGCTTCTGTGGTGTGTCCCATTCAAATTGGTATGTGTGTTGGAAAATACTATAATCCCAGAACTCAGGAGGATGAGGCAGGAGGATTGCAAGTTTGAGCCCAGCCTGGGCAATTTAGCAAGACCACCTCAAAACAAAAACTAAAAAGGGATGGGGATGTAGTTCAGTATGCAGGCCCGGGGTTCAATCCCTAGTACCAGGAGGTGGAAGCAGCCCTGGCATGGCACTTAGACTAACCTGTTTCCCAAGAGTCCTCAGGGGGGAGACCCAGCCAACCTACAGCTGACCAGAGCAGAGCATGGCACAGCAGTGGGGCCTGCCCACAGCTTCCTGAAGGCTTTTGATACCTTTGCTGGCAGAATCACTTTCTAAACCACTTTTGCATAAATAATTTGGTATAAAAACACATACTTGTCAGGTGTGATGATGCACACCTGTAATCTCAGCACTTGGGAGGATGAGGCAGGAGGATTGTGAGTTTGAGGACATTCCAGGCTACATAGGGAGTTCAAGGCCAGCTTGGACTACATAGCATGAACTTGTCTCAGAAAACAGCCATAAAAAAATCCCACATATTGGGCTGAGGATTTAGCTCAGTGCTTCCACCACTTACCTTGCAAGCAAAAGGTCCCAAGTTTGATCCCCGCTACCAAAAAAAGTCCCACATACTTTGAGGGGCCATGTATCATATGTTATTGTGATAGCTACTGTGTTTGCAGTGATGAATATAAGAATGCATTGGAACTTCATATTTACTTATGAAGGAAAATGAGTGTGATGGGCAGAGTAATGCCCCTCCCACCCTAGCAAAAAGAAACCCATGTCTTAATCCCCGGGACCTAAGGATCTGCTATTCAAGATACTGGGGAGAAGAGGGACTTCAGTGCAGGGTTCGGGGTACAGCTCAGTGAGTGGTAGAACACTGGACCCACGTGGATACCACCCACCTCTGTGGCATGGGCATGGGACCATGTTTCCAGGTCTGGTGTATCCAGGATGGGGATGTCACCATCAACCTGAGGTGCACAGGGTCCCGTGGCCATGGCCACTTCCTGCTGCAGGGGCTGAGGTTCTCTGGGCCTTGAGATAACATCTGTGTTCTCCAGTGCAGAAGGGCAGGGGCCAGGAGCATGAGCCGGACTTGGGAAACGGCTGGGGTGTGAGGATCTGGGGTCCCTCTGAGGACTGGAAGTCCCATAAGGAAGGTAGGGTCTGGAAGTCAGATCCCCTGGAAAGGGAACTCTGGATAGAGGTAGGTGTGCTAGAAGTTCAATGGTGACGTGCTTGGGGTCAGTACTCGAAGGGCAGGGCAGGATGAGGCCTCAGTCAGCCTTGGGCCCAATGGTAACTGGGAAGGCCTGGCCTTGGGCAAGGGATCTCTTAGCAAGAGTAATGCCAGTCACCTTTCTAGTAGCAGGGATGATCCTGCAGGATGCTACAGGGCTTTAGGCCAAGAGGCAGAGTTCCCTCTAGTGGGTGATCAGGGCAGGGCCAGACTCAGCAGTGCTGGCTCCCATGGCTACTCTTTGACTTCCATGACATCTAGCCTCTTATTTATTTATTTATTTATTTATTTATTTATTTAAACTTTATTTTTTCTTTTGGTACTGGGGTTTGAATCTAGGGCCTCTGTACTGAGCTACATCCTCAGCCCTTTCTTATTTTTTATTTTGAGACAGGGTATCACTAAGTCACTAAGTTGCCCAAGCTGGGCTCCAACTCATGATTTTCCTGCCTCAGGGTGTAGGGATTACAGGCTGGCTCTATTGCTTTTCTGGTGAGGCAGCACATCATGATGGGGAGCATGTAAGGCAAAGCTGCTTGCCTCAGGGCAGCCAGGAAGCAAGGAGAGAAACAAGAAGCACAGGGTGTGTGTATGTGTGTGTATGTGTGTGTGTGGGGTCTCAATATCCTCTTTGAGGCCACACCCCAATGGCCTAACTTACTCCCGCTAGGCTCCACCTCCTAAAGGAGAAAACCTTCAACAAATGGGTCTTGTGGGGGATTTCAGCAGGGTCATGCAGGGGGCATCTAGTACCAATCTGGTTCTTCAGGAGGGGAGGTGGGCACTGGGGGTCAAGTTAACTATTTCCATGGAAACCATGCCTCTGCTTATAATGCTCTGGGCCTGTCAGACCTATTTCACAAAATCTTGTTTCACCAAAAGCCTGCACTAGGGAACTTGGCTGTTGTTCTGAGTCCTTCCTCATGTGGGAAGGGGGTGGCCTGGCTCCTGGGAATAAAGAGCTTCTTTCTAAACAGATAAACCAGGATGGCCCCAAAATTGACATGGCTCATTAGTGGGAAAGACAAATTGGTCCGGTTGAATTTGGTATTTTTCCCCAGATGGCATTCATTTCAGGAGACAGTCTGCACGTCATTGCTGTCTCTCATTTGCTGAGACAAATTTCCCACAAATAGGAGTGTGTTTCCATCCTGAGCAGCTCTCCATCTTGGCCTTGTTTTGGTTCCTGTTTTGTACCACCCCCCTCCATTGCTTTTTCTCTTCATCCTCTTTTCACAGATTTTCAGGCCCAGAGGAGATCCTTATCCCATGCCTGGATCCTGCCAACTCCACCCCTGGTGAGTGGATTTGCAGCCCCTGCTTACATACCTGCCCTGACGGGGAGCTCACTCCTCTAAGCTGGCTTTGTTATTTGGACATACATCTAACTCCCTTCAACTTATTGGGAGTCCCAGACTGCATTCTGTCTTTCCCTTCTTCCTTATAGACAGTCACTGATCCTCCCCCTACTTCACCTTCAAGTCCTTTCCCTCCAGGAAAACTGTTTTAGCTTCTCTGTTGATTCCTCACCCCACATTGCTGATGATTGCTGGAGCCAGGTCCATTCACTCCTGTGTACATCCCAGTGCATTTGCCACCATTTGAGAGGGGTCACATCAGAGGTGGGTGGGACTCATATGACCTGGAGGCCTCATCAGATTCCTGAAGCCACAGGGTGCAGGCCCAGCTTGGCAGGAGAAACTGCTCTGCAAATCTTACGGATCTATATTCGTCTGTTTTCTGTTGTTGTAACAAAATACCGGAGGCTGGAGAGAGAGAGAGATTTTCTCCTGGGTACAGTCATGCACACCTGTGATTTCAGCTACTCAGGAGGCTTAGGCAGGAGCATCACAAGTTCAAGCCCAGCCTGAGAGATTTAGTGAAAAATAAAAAGTAAAAAAAGGGAGGGGTGTAGTTCAGTGGCCAAGTACTTGCCTAGCAAGTGTAAACCCCTGGCTTGAAGCCACAATATGAAAGAAAGAAAGAAAGAAAGAAAGAAAGAAAGAAAGAAAGAAAGAAAGAAAGAAGGAAGGAAGGAAGGAAAGAGTAGTTTATTGTGCTCACAGTAGTTTTGGAAGCTGAGAGTCCAAGTCAGACTGCCCACTGGTCATAGGGTCAGCCCCTTGTGGCTGCATAACAGTATGGTGGCAGAAGGCATCGTGGTGGACCACACACTGCAGAAAGAGCACACGGTGAGAGTCATATGGTGAGACAGAAGCCAGAGAGACTCGGGCCAGCTCCCCTCTTTACAACAACCCACTCTCGGGGGATCTGACTGAGGTCTTGGACAGCAACATTACTCCCTTCTGAACATTACACCAGCACCTGGTGACCTGAATGTCTTGTGCAAGTTCCCACCTCTCAAAGTTTCCCCCACCCCTCACTGCCACACTGGGACTAAGCTTCTGGGACATGGACTGGAAGTGAGGTAACCCTTAAGCCCTGTTCAAACCATGAAAGGATCCTGGAGGCCCAATTCCCCTCCCTATCTCTCCTCCCTCAGCAAGGACATCAGCCTTCCAGTCACAAGTCTCCTCCACCCTGGGCCTTAGAGGCTGGCGAGTCCCATGTCCCATAGCCCAGCCAGTGACTTCTTCACTGCACGCTCAGCCTCTTCCCCTAGCTGTTACATCACAGCTTTGTCATCAGCCAGAGCTTGACTCCTGATATAGAAAAGCTTTTTAGGAAAAATAATGAAACATTAAATGCACTTGGGTTAAAAAAGAAGATGGCACAGAAAGATGAGGTCAGGCAAATGGGCAGAGGTGGTGGCCTGCCCCTCTCCCTGCCCTGTCCCCTGGGGTTTCCCTCCTCTCTCAGGAGTGAGCACTTGTCCCTTGGACCAGCATTCTGTGTGGCAGGCAATAGAAACCAGCTCTGGATAATTAAGTACAAGCACACTGAGACATTCCCAAGATCAGTGTGAGCCTGGAGGTTCCAGGGTAGGGGTGCATCCAGAAGCAACACCCCAACTCCAGCATCAGATTGACAGGGGCCCCAGCTGTGCAGAGCCCAGATGCTGCAGCTTGTGACACCAGCATCCTCAGTGCTGGGCACCACCCTGTGGTCCCTGCTGTTTCTAGAAGCTGAGGGTGGCCACCCAGCAGCCTCCAGCCCTGCCAGCCTGAATGGATTCTGGCAGCACCTGCTTCTCCATGCTGTGGGCTTTGTTTCACGTTTAACATGAGCCAGCGGATTGGCCGAGCCAGGGCAGGATCCAGGCCCTTTCTGCAGGAAGGCTGGGAAAGTGTATTTGGCATTTCACTTCCTATGGACCCAGGAGGATTCCTAAAGAATAAAGGGGCCCAGAGGCTGACTGACTCCTAAGAATGACAGATATTGACTGTGTTGGCATTTTGTGATTTATCAGTTGGGTTTTGTTGTTGTTATTAGGAATTGAACCCATAAAGGAGTTGGGGAAGTGGGAAGGGTAGGGGAAAGGAAAGAAGGAAAAAGAAAAAATATAAGGAAAGGAAAAAATGGAAACAAAGTCTCTGTAAATAGGGAAAAGTAGAGAGAGTGAAGGGAGGGCAGGGAAATGGGGGAAAACATAAGAACTAAGATACATCATGCAGAGGTACAAGTTCCCAACGATGAATGTAACTGTATTGTATACCTAAAATGCACCAATAAACTTAATGAAAGAAAAAAAAAAGAATTGAATCCAAGAAGTGCTCTACCATGAGCTCCACACTCAACCCTTTTTGTCTTTTAAAATTTTGACACAGGATCTTGCTAAGTTGCGCAAATTAGTCTTGAACTTGCAACCCTCCTGCCTCTGTCTCCCCAGTGGCTGGGACTACAGGCACATGCCACTGCACCTGGCTATCACTTTTTGATAATTTCTGAGGGCTTTTTGGCTTGAGAACTGAAGATTTTACTTAATTTCTCTCCCCAGCCCTGTCCCTCCTTCCAACATAGTTATTCCACCATTTTAATGAATCTATAGTCATCTTCAGAGTGTTAATAGCTTTGATTATTGAGAACCTGCTGTTGGACAGAAAGACATGGAGGCTTCTTATACTACATGTGCTCTTTTCCTCATCCTTCCCTCCCAGCATCTGCCATTTGTACTTTCCCATTGGTGTGGTTGAAAATATTTGCATTCTTTAACCTTAATTAAGTCTTCTTTCTTTGCTTTGTCTGGGGGCTGATTATGAAAGTTGGAAATACATAAAGTGCTTGCAATGTCATGATTATGTGGACAGCACTCACTGCAAAGCTTGCAGTGGTCTAGGCAAGCTGTTTTTTTAGTGTCCAGACTTTACTTTTCTGGCACTTTCTAAATGCTGTTTTTTTACTTGCATTTATTGCATCCTAAGTTCCTGTGATGTTTCAGGGATGCTACCAAATCTAGGGTACACAGTTCTTCTAGGACTGCTTCTCATGAGTACTAGCTACTCCCCATCCTCCTTGCTTAACTGGACCCTGTCATCTGGGACATCCATGTGCAATTCCCCTGGGGTGGGGCCACAGCTGCCTGGATCTTTTTTCTTCTTATTTAGTTTATTTACTGTTTTTTTCCTCTGGGATGAATGGGCAGGTGATACACCTGTCAAGATTTTATGTGTCTCAAAAACCATTTGGTCCTCAGGTTTTCTTGCTAGTTTGGTTGGGTATGAAACACTATGTTAAGAATTATTGTCCCTCAGAACATGGACAGCATCCAGTTTAAGATTTCCATGGCTTCTCTGCCCCTCTGCAATGATGGCTGTGTTCCTTACCGTGGTCTGACTCCAAGGATCTGTGCCATAAGCCCTGCTAACCACCCAGCCCACCTCTTCATTCTCTGTACATGCTGTTTTCAGGACCACCCAACTGGGTGCCCCCGTAGAACCCATGCAGGTTTGTCCTCCAATCGAGAATTCTCTTTCTTCTCTTTTGTTTATTTAAGTTCTGCTGGTCCTTCAGTCTTCTAGAAGACATTGCTTCCTGCAGGAAGGGTCCCTCAACCCATGCTATGAGGCTACCCCTTCTTTGTGCCCACAGCATGTGGTTCTCAGGCAAATAATGGCCCAGGCTCTATGGATGGGCCTGTTCTGTGCAGTGCCTAGAATGTGTCACATGCTTGTGGGTGAATGCACAGAGTTGCTGAGTTGTGGCTGCAGGGTCTGGGAGTTGGACAGGGCACTCAGGAGTCACAGCAAGAGATAGAAAGGGTGGCTGGCTGAGGTGCTGGGAGTGCTGCGGGTGGGAACAGAAATCCCAAAGTGTCCCCTTGTTCCTGTTTGTCTGAAGATCATCAACTCTTTCATCCCCTTCCTTCTAGAACCTTCTTCCCTCTCTACACACAGCTCTAGGTGAAGGTCTGACCTGCCACTGCACCCACTCAGGTCTGGAGGCAACAGGAGGGGTTCAAGGAAGGGGCAGGCTGGCTTTGATCCTGGTTTACTGTTGGGATTGGGCGTTCTCTGGCTGAGACAGTGTTGCACAGGGTGGTTTGGGGAGTTAGCAGCTTCAGGTGGCAACAGCAGCTGGTAGGGGCGACAGGTGCTCAGCCCCTTGGGGCCAGCATGGAGGCTGCAGGGGGCGCCCTCGGAGGATCTTTGAAGTCCCTTCCCTTCCTATGGGGTGCATCCTACCTTGGCAGACACCTTTTACAACCATGATCATTGAGTTAAGGAGTGATTTGTACACAGTAAAATGAGCCCAGTTGAATGCTCAGTGAAATAGTTTGGGCTAACACATACCAGGGTGACCAGTGCTACAGTCAAGACCTAGAGTCTTTACTTCACCCGGAAAATTCCCTCAGACCTCTTTGCAGTCATCCTCCCCAACCTGATGACCAGTGATCTGGTTTTTTTCTGCCAGGACCAACTTTGCTGTTTGAAGGATTTTGTATGTTTGTGGCACTGGGGATCGAACTCCTACCTTTTCATTATTTTTTTTATTTTGAGACAAAGTCTTGTGAAGTTGCTGAGTTGCCCAGGCTAGGCTCAAACTTGCAATCATCCTGCCTCAGCCTCCCAGAAATGGGATTACAGGTGTGCACCACATACCAGGCTCCTTTGTGATCTTATCCATTGTTTGGTTTATCTTTTAAACACAATAGTGTGCTCATGTCCTCTGGTAACCCAGAAAAAATGGGTGAAATTTACGCACAGAAATGTGCACCTGTATGTTCTCAGCAGCACTGTTCATAACAGCGTCAAACTGGAAACAACTCATACATTCACAGTGGAGGAATGGTCTATGATTTGGCCATAAAAAGGAATGAAGTGTGGATGAACCCAAGAACATCATGCAGTCAGGTCTGGCAGCATATGCCTGTAACCCTAGCACTCTGGGAGGCTGAGGC